TTTTTTTGAGAATTTTTAGATTTTTTAATATTTTACTGTTCATGCTAAGATGATATGAGCTAAAACTGAGATGGGGATCGGCCAACACTTTTTTCATGAATGCAAATGACATGCACATATAGGTGATGCTTTTCTGAACATTTTGATATCTTATTTGAATTTTTCTAAGTTAGTATGAATTTTTTATGAAGTTTTCAAAGTGATGGTCAAACGGTCAAAGGGCAAAAGCATAAGAGGAGCAAAGTGCTTTTGGCAGGAACAAGCGTTTTTGGAAACTAGGGGTAAACCTGCCGAGTGGGACACAACTAAGGGCACCAAATTAATTATCCCTATATTTTAGTGGAACTGCATAAGAAGATGTTGGAAACATTAAAATAATCGAGGAGTATATAGTAAGCATGGCCACCACCATAGATAGCAACAGATGGTTCCAGAGAAGTGCTTCATCTGTATGCTCTACACAATAAGCCTCCTGACAAAGGTTGGTACTCGCCCATTGATTTCATCCATATGATTGAGCTTTGTCATCTCTATTGGTGTTGTGCTACTGTTTAGATACTGTCACGAAAAAGTGGTATTGTCCTTGACAAGTGCTTCATCTGTGCTGTTTTAAATATTTCCTTTCCTTTTTTCGATCAAACAGGGATGCTAGCATTTAGTAGTCCTCTTGTCTTTGCACAACATGATCATGTTCCTCTGAAGAAGAATATGGAGTACGTGAAGTGACTAGTTCCGATTATGCCAGGATGAAGAAGCCCTGTCTATCTTCTCATCAGAAGGAGCAGTTGAAGGATGGTTACATTACTCCCCACAAGACCAAACTAACTTCAGCTCAGAAGGACTGACAAATCTCCATTTTTTGTTGTTGTGATGCGCGAGTACAATGTTGTTCTAGGATTCTTTCTGGTGAGTTCCATTTTTCTAAAAGTGTGCTCTACATGGACCATGTACGTGCCTGTTGAAACTGTCAATTCATAGTACAGTTTGCTTTATACTAATCACTTTTTTGTATTTGTGCAAACAGGGGTGCTCAGCTTGATTTCGATGGGAACTGCACAAAATGTTCATGAATACATCGAATCATTCATTACCACCACAAGAAAGGAGGTGCCGATAAGTTCAAGGTGTTGCAACATATAAGGGCGAAATCATACAAGCTACGCATGAATTTGGTTGATTTTGGTGGAACTGCACAAAAAGAACCGCTGGTTTATTTAGCACGAGGTGCCATGTCAATGTCCGAACTGATGACAAACCCTGCCCATTCCACAATCGTAGGCATTTGAAATTTTGGAATGGGACAACCTTGTCAAATTTTGCCCATTGATTTTAGCAGGACATGCGTTTGATATTTTCGAATGGGACGCTCTTTGCTGTCAGCAACATCGATCAATTTTTTCTTTATTCTTTAGGTGTGAAGTAAATATTGCCTCTGACATGTGAGTCGCTGAGATGCATAATCATCGATTTTTTTGAATGTTCTCTATGAATTGCCAGGCCTGTGTGTTTGATTGCAATGTACAGAAACGCTAAAGAGTTGCTCAAACACTTTGTACTCCTTCTGTTCCTTTTTACTTCGCACATTCTGAAAGTGCATACTTTTTTCTATAAGATTGGTCAAAGTAGAGATACTTTGACTGCAGATAAAACTTGTATGCAGACGAGAAAGGACCGGAGGGAGTACATGTGAAACTGCTGCAAACAAGGTGATCACCCTGGGAATAATGCTAATACGTATTGTTTTGCATGTTCATCCAATGCCAGTGATACAGGAATTCGAACTAATTGAAATAAATTCATTCATACACGGTCGGATTTCATATAAACATGTCGTATTTCATTACATTTAATACATTCTTCAACTAAAAAGGGGTGCGCTGGAGGTATAATTAATTAACCGAAGCTACCCACCTGTGTCCCGCTGAGCCGAACAGAAGCTTCAGTGACTTAACTGCAGCTGCAGTTGCGTAACTGACATGCGGCCTGTTGGGCCCACGTGTCAGTCAGCCAACTGCACCAGCAGTTAAGTAGAAGCAGCGTTCTTCTCCAGCGCAGATCTCCGACTCCACGTCGCTGCCAAGAAGCTAACTGGCCGTCAATGGTCAACCCGCCTAACTTGGCTTCAACCAGAGGGTAGCAGCGGTGGCCTTACTTGGACCCGAGCGGCGGCGACCTACCATGTTCTACTCTTCCTTGTTTTTTCTGTGGCGCGGCCTCGTTGGCAGCGGGGCAGGCCTCGGCGGAGCCGGTGATGTCCTCTATCTCGTTGCCGGCAGGGTTGGGCCTCGGCTGAGCCGGCGATGTCCTCAGCCTCGTTATTGGCGGGGAGGGGCCTCGGCGGAGCCGGCGGTGTCCTCAGCCTCGTTTTTGGTGCCGCGGGTCCTCGGCGGAGCAGGGCGTCATCGACGCCAGCGGAGCGGGGACACGTCAGAGCCGGCATTGTCCTCTGCCTCGTCCTCGGTCTCGCCAAACAGCGCCTCACCCGCTTCATCGCCCTCTTTGCTAGCCTCTTTGTAGGCGGCCGCAGCCTCCGCCACCTGCATGCGGTACCGGCAGCGCTCGAGGCGGCCCTTGCGGGCGGAGCGGTACGAGTCGAGCGGTGACTCCTGCTCCGCCCGCTCCGCGGCGATCTGCTCCTCCGCCTGCAGGTGCTCCTGGAGGAGATGGTGGTTGTAGGCGGCATCGACATGCGCCTCCCGGAACAGCTCCCCACGCATCTGCCTCACCTTGTCCATATATTGGGCACGGACCTCACCAGTGGTCATGGTGCAATGCACCGGTGAGGATGGCGCGGAGGAGGGGGTTGGTGCCGGATCGTCCCACCACCATGTTCTCCATTGGGAAGTCGTCGTCCTCCGACTGCCTGCCGGCCATCCGGTCGGCAGCAATGGCTGCCATCTCCTTGTGGTCCGTCGTCCGCCCGTCCCAAAGAGCGCTGGAGCGCGAGGAAGCCATGGTGGGCAGTAGTGGTGTGGACAGGAGAAAGGGAACATATGCGGATGACTGCGGCTATGGCCGACGCAGCAGTTTATATAGCAATGGTGGGCGGGCGGAGGGATGGACGTCTGGCGCCGGAGTAGCCGCCTCGGCAACCGTGTATCGTTATTGTGGGTGGCAGATGCATGGGCAGACGGCACTTGTGTCGTTTTAAGGCGGAGCAATCGCCTGCACCGGGAAGCGGGGCGGGCGGGATCTTAAGGGTGGGTCTATTCTAATAACACCCCTTAAGACCTTATTCTGCTAACACCTCCGCTTATTCTGATAACACCTGGTACCCACTCGTAGCTACTAGTACAAACTAACCACACAGCCGCTCCACAGTATCGCCGACCCAACCACCAAACCCACGAACCCCATTGCATCTGGGAATCCCTGCATCTGCTCCCTCCCACCGGCGCACCATCGCGGTAACCACCAGTGCCGCCCCTGTCCCCACACTAACGCGGCCACCTCCTTCCTCCCTTCTTCCTCTCCCACCAGCTCCCGGGCCCCGCTGTACCACCTCCTTCCTCCGGCGACGCCACTCGGGACCCGCCCCACCATCTCCTTCCTCCGCCGCCATCGCTCGGGACCTGCCCCACCGCCTTCTTCCTTCGATGGCCCCGCTGGCGCCCTGGATCCCCCGGTGCAGAAGTCGTCCCCCTCTCCTCCATCTCCCACCTCTAGGTCTGCCCGGTGACGGATCCGACAAGACCCTCCTCCACCCCTCCTATCATGCCTGCCCAGCGACGGATCTGGCGGGATCCACCTCCATCTCTGTCCTCCCGTGCCTGCCCGGCGACGGATCCGGCAGGACCCTCCTCCACCCCCTCCTATTGTGCCTGAACGACGACGGATCCGGCGGGATCCTCCTCCACATCCGTCCCCCGTGCCTGCCCGCCGGTTGGATCCTCCTACACCTCCCATTCCTGTGCTAGCCGGTCACGGATCCGGCAAGATCCTCCACCCCTCTCCTCCCATGCCTTCCTGGAGACGGATACGGCAGGATCCCCCTGCAGCTCCTTCCTCTACGGCGGCGTCGAGCTCTCTGCCCTCCCCTAGAAGCCGCCCTCCCCTCTCGCCATTCCTTCTTCCTCCTCTCCCCGCAAACTACCTCCGGCGAGGTCTAGTGCATGTCCATCCCCGGCAGCTCGCGTACAGTTTGGCCAACGATGGCGTGCAGTACGATGTACGATGGCATGCAGTTCCGCGACTTTCCCTGGCATGCAATGCCACTAGCGTGCAGTGCAGCTTGCTCTGGCGTGCAGTGCAGCTCGCCCTGGCATGCAGTGTAGCTCGTCCATGCATGCGGGCACCCTCACCTGTAGTTTCTCTCCTTTTGTAGCCTACTCTTAGTTGTGCCATATTATTTCCAAAAACCGAATCTCTGTAAGTTAGTTAAATTTAATGAGTTGTTTCACTGTTTTGAAATAAGTAGTTTCATCCCTTGCTGTCTCCTGGAGCTTATTCTTACTACTTTTATGAATGATTTATGCTTTGACAAGCTTAAATGTAACTATTGGCATATAATCCCATGGCTCAAAATCTGCCCAGTTTGGTGTATGTTCCTGTTAGTTGCTGAATGTATTACAATTTACACAGTTGTACTTAGTAGCACAAAAACACATGTCCTTGTATTAATATTATTTGCAATGTCCCACTAGATTTTGTTAACCATGTTACTAAATACCTGGTTTGTCCTTTTTGAACTTATTTTAATCATGGTTTGTTTCAATGTAGTGTAATGTTGTGCCATACTTACATCTCTCAGTGGTTAAATATGTTCAAGTGTCTATTTTAATGTATACTGTGTTCAACTATTAATATGGATGCTTTTGCACCGTCCTCACATATTATTTACATGTTTGCAGGCAACTCTACGCTTACAGATTCCCTTGTGGCAGCTGCTGGGATTATCGCCCAGGAAGTTGCTGGTGATGTTCGCATGATTGATACTTGCATCTGACAAGGGTAGATTCTTTGCCTTTGGACGTGTTTTTGCTGGGAGGGTTGCAACTGGTATGAAGGTCCGTATCATGGGTCCTAACTTTGTTCCTGGCCAGAAGAAGGATTTGTATGTGAAGAGTGTCCAGCATACTGTTATATGGATGGTAAAGAAGCAAGAATCGGTTGAGGATGTTCCCTGTGGTAACACTGTTGCTTTGGTTGGTTTGGATCAGTTCATCACCAAGAAATGCAACCCTGACAAATGAGAAAGAAGTTGATGCCTGCCCAATCAGGGCAATGAAGTTCTCTGTGTCCCCTGTTGTGCGTGTTGCTGTTCAGTGCAAGGTGGCTTCTGACCTTCCTAAGCTTGTTGAGGGTTTGAAGCGGCTAGCAAAGTCTGACCCTATGGTTCTCTGTAGCATTGAAGATTCTGGTGAGCATATCATTGCTGGAGCTGGAGAGCTTCACCTTGAAATCTGTTTGAAGGATCTGCATGAGGATTTCATGGGTGGTGCTGAAATTATTGTTTCACCTCCTGTTGTCTCCTTCTGTAGATAACTAAAAAGAATGATGGCCAAAAAAACTGCAGTACACTTTTTATGTGTGGGGAGTTCGCTTTGAACTCTCTGGAAGCTCACTCGGGCTCAAGAACAAATGCACGTATCACATGCCTTGTTTAAGAATCATAGCAAAAAGCAGTACAGTCAAACCTGCATGCAGTTACTTGGTCGACATTGCAGTGCGGTTTTTGTTTTGAAGTAGTGTGTGTGATATGTTGTTTTCGATTTGGTCGACACTGCAATGTGATTCACTTACTCCCAAATGTGAAAGGGCAGAAAAATTAATGCGGTTCACTTCTTGATGCACTACGGTTCACTCGCTTCGTCCATATGGTCCATGCGTTTGGTCTACGCTCGTAGAAAAATATTAAGTATGAAAAAGGTTAACAAAAATGTCATGTGGTTCCATGCGTTTGGTCCACGCTCGTAGAAAAATATTAAGTATGAAAAAGGTTAACAAAAATGTCATGTGGTTCCCTTTCGGCGGTGGCACGGTTTAGTTTCGGAAGTGTTGAGGTCCACTTACGCCCGATGTGAAGCGCACTCCACTTTTAGTCTAAGAAAATTTACGTCCCACAAAAAAGAAATCATGCACTGCACTTGTCTATCCAGTGAAGTGCGGTTTTTAGCCTAAATAAGTGTGGTTTTCTGTCTGATGCAGTACGGCCCATTTACGATAATCTCGAGGTTCACTTTCCATAGTCTTGCGGTTCACCAACACTTAACATGAAGTGCACTCCACCTCGCTTAGGAAGATTTACGTACCACAAAAAAGTAATGCGGTTCACTTCTTGATAGTGTTGTGGTTCATTTACACCCGATGTGAAGTGCACTCAACTTTCTCGTCCTTGAAAAAATTATGTTTGAACAAAATAAACCATGCAGTTCTCTATCACGTCTAATGCAGTGCGGTTTTTCGTCTGATGCAGTGCGGTTTTCAGTCGGATGAAGTACCCACGTCGATTTGGGTGTCGCGAAAAACAGAGTGTCTGCATTTCGATAAATTCAAAATTTCTCTTAAACCGTAAAGAATTAAAGAGAGTGTTCTACATGAAAAAGTTGCGCCTCGTTGATATCTTACCAACGGCGTATCATTTGAATCATTCGGACCAGCGGTTTGTAAAAATTTCGCGAAAACGGCCGCTGCCACTCGTCGTCCGCTGCACGATTTTCAAAATTAACTTAAAACCATAAAGAATCTTAAAAACATTTCAACACACGAAAGTAGCGCCTCATACATAGCTTTTCAATGGTATATTACACGCCTTGTTTTGACAAACGGTTAAAAAACTGGAGCGAAAACCGTACCGAAAATTTGAAATTTTTTGAAAAACAGAATTTCGCGATTTAGTAAATTTGATACTTCTCTTAAACCATTACGAATTAGAGAGAATAGTAGTTATGAAAAAGATGCGCCTCGACAATATCTATCCAACGGTGTACCATTTGCCTCATTCCGACGAGCGGTCTAGAAAAAAACGCGAAAAAACGCTCGCTTCCACTCTTTGTGGGCCGCACCATTTTTGAAACTGCTCTTAAACTATGGGGAATCTTGAAAAGTGTTCAACATGGCGAAGTTGCGCATAATCCTGAAGGAAATATGCCCTAGAGGCAATAATAAAGTTATTATTTATTTCCTTATATCATGATAAATGTTTATTATTCATGCTAGAATTGTATTAACCGGAAACATAATACATGTGTGAATACATAGACAAACAGAGTGTCACTAGTATGCCTCTACTTGACTAGCTCGTTAATCAAAGATGGTTATGTTTCCTAACCATAAACAAAGTGTTGTTATTTGATTAACAAGGTCACATCATTAGTTGAATGATCTGATTGACATGACCCATTCCATTAGCTTAGCACCCGATCGTTTAGTATGTTGCTATTGCTTTCTTCATGACTTATACATGTTCCTATGACTATGAGATTATGCAACTCCCCTTTACCGGAGGAACACTTTGGGTGCTACGAAACGTCACAACATAACTGGGTGATTATAAAGGAGCATTACAGGTGTCTCCAAAGGTACATGTTGGGTTGGCATATTTCGAGATTAGGATTTGTCACTCCGATTGTCGGAGAGGCATCTCTGGGCCCTCTCGGTAATGCACATCACATAAGCCTTGCAAGCATTACAACTAATGTGTTAGTTGTGAGATGATGTATTACGGAACGAGTAAAGAGACTTGCCGGTAACGAGATTGAACTAGGTATTGGATACTGACGATTGAATCTCGGGCAAGTAATATACCGATGACAAAGGGAACAACGTATGTTGTTATGCGGTCTGACCAATAAAGATCTTCGTAGAATACGTAGGAGCCAATATGGGCATCCAGGTCCCGCTATTGGTTATTGACCGGAGATGTGTCTTAGTCATGTCTGCATTGTTCTCGAACCGTAGGGTCCGCACGCTTAACGTTACGATGACAGTTATTATGAGTTTATGCATTTTGATGTACCGAAGTTAGTTCGGAGTCCCGGATGTGATCACGGACATGACGAGGAGTCTCGAAATGGTCGAGACATAAAGATTGATATATTGGAAGCCTATGTTTGGATATCAGAAGTGTTCCGGGTGACATCGAGATTTTACCGGAGTACCGGGAGGTTACCGGAACCCCCCGGGAGCTGTATGGGCCTTAGTGGGCTTTAGTGGAAAGGAGAAAGGGGCAGCCCAAGGTAGGCCGCGTGCCTCCCCCCTCCCCTAGTCCTATTAGGACAAGGAGAGGTGGCCATCCCCCCTCTCTCTCTTTCCCCCTCGGGGAATCCTATTCCAACTAGGATTGGGGGGGGGGGAATCCTACTCCCGGTAGGAGTAGGACTCCTCCTGGGCCCTCCTCCTGGCCGGCCGCCCCCTCCCCCTTGGATCCTTTATATACGGGGGCAGGGGGGCACCTCTAAACACACAAGTTGATCCTTGAAATCGTTCCTTAGCCGTGTGCGGTGCCCCCTGCCACCATATTCCACCTCGATCATATTGTAGCGGTGCTTAGGCAAAGCCGTGCGACAGTAGAACATCAAGATCATCACCACGCCGTCGTGCTGACGGAACTCCTCCCTGACGATTTGCTGGATCGGAGCCCAGGGATCGTCATCGAGTTGTACATGTGCTAAGAACTCGGAGGTGCCGGAGTAACGGTGCTTGGATCGGTCGGATCGGGAAGACGTATGACTACTTCCTCTATATTGCGTCAACGCTTCCACAGTCGGTCTGCGTGGGTACGTAGACAACACTCTCCCCTCTCGTTGCTATGCATCACCATGATCTTGCGTGTGCGTAGGAATTTTTTTGAAATTACTGCGTTCCCCAACAGTGGTATCAGAGCCTAGGTTTTATGGTTTGATGTTATATGCACGAGTAGAACACAAGTGAGTTGTGGGTGATATAAGTCATACTGCCTACCAGCATGTCATACTTTGGTTCGGCGGTATTGTTGGACGAGACGACCCAGACCAACATTACGCGTACGCTTACGCGAGACCGGTTCTCCCGACGTGCTTTGCACATAGGTGGCTTGCGGGCGACTGTCTCTCCAACTTTAGTTGAACCGAGTGTGGCTACGCCCGGTCCTTGCGAAGGTTAAAATGGAGTCTATTTGACAAACTATCGTTGTGGTTTTGATGCGTAGGTGAGATTGGTTCTTACTTAAGCCCGTAGCAGCCACGTAAAACATGCAACAACAAAGTAGAGGACGTCTAACTTGTTTTTGCAGGGCATGTTGTGATGTGATATGGCCAAGACATGATGCTAAATTTTATTGTATGAGATGATCATGTTTTGTAACCGAGTTATCGGCAACTGGCAGGAGCCATATGGTTGTCGCTTTATTGTATGCAATGCAATCATGATGTAATGCTTTACTTTATTACTAAGCGGTAGTGATAGTCATAGAAGCATAAGATTGGCGAGACGACAACGATGCTACTATGGAGATCAAGGTGTCGCGCCGATGACGATGGTGATCATGATGGTGATCATGACGGTGCTTCGGAGATGGAGATCACAGGCACAAGATGATGATGGCCATATCATATCACTTATATTGATTGCATGTGATGTTTATCTTTTATGCATCTTATCTTGCTTTGATTGACGGTAGAATTATAAGATGATCTCTCACTAAATTATCAAGAAGTGTTCTCCATGAGTATGCACCATTGCGAAAGTTCTTCGTGCTGAGACACCACGTGATGATCGGGGGTGATAGGCTCTACGTTCAAATACAATGGGTGCAAAACAGTTGCACACGCGGAATACTCAGGTTATACTTGACGAGCCAAGCATATACAAATATGGCCTCGGAACACGGAGACTGAAAGGTCGAACGTGAATCATATAGTAGATATGATCAACATAGTGATGTTCACCAATGAAACTACTCCATCTCACGTGATGATTGGACATGGTTTAGTTGATTTGGATCACGTGATCACTTAGAGGATTAGAGGGATGTCTATCTAAGTGGGAGTTCTTAAGTAATATGATTAATTGAATTTAAATTTATCATGAACTTAGTCCCTGATAGTATCTTGCTTGTTTATATTGATTGTAGATAGATGGCTCGTGCTGTTGTTCCGTTGAATTTTAATGCGTTCCTTGAGAAAGCAAAGTTGAAAGATGATGGTAGCAATTACACGGACTGGGTCCGTAACTTGAGGATTATCCTCATTGTTGCACAGAAGAATTACGTCCTGGAAGCACCGCTGGGTGCCAGGCCTGCTGCTGGAGCAACACCAGATGTTATGAACGTCTGGCAGAGCAAAGCTGATGACTACTCGATAGTTCAGTGTGCCATGCTTTACGGCTTAGAATCGGGACTTCAACGACGTTTTGAACATCATGGAGCATATGAGATGTTCCAGGAGTTGAAGTTAATATTTCAAGCAAATGCCCGGTTTGAGAGATATGAAGTCTCCAATAAGTTCTATAGCTGCAAGATGGAGGAGAACAGTTCTGTCAGTGAGCATATACTCAAAATGTCTGGG